GGGGTGGATGAATTGGAGCCCCACCCTTCAGATCTGGCTGGGGAACCCCTAGAACGAACTGATCCCTTTTCCCCCTTTCCCTGCCCCCTCTGATCCCTTTTCCCCCTCCTATTATGAAACAGGGACGGGCTGGTGGGGAGGAAGGGCCATTGCTAGGGGAAACCAGCAGCAGGCTGGGAGCCAGCAGCTAGATTCCCCTATCCCCCTGGAACCAACAGTGAACTTCTGTTTGTTCCAAGGGATCATTGTAACTCAGAACACTTCCTGCAAAGCATTCTCAGTTGCAGCAGGTCGCTGCACTTCTGTCTGCACCCTCTATTTCAAGACACGGTTTCCAACAATGTTTACAACATGTTGAAGAGATTTGAACATAATCCTTCTGACGAGCAGAAGGGGATTAAGAGAAGCAATCCCCTACCTTCAGGCTCTTGAATGAAAAGTATAGAGAATGACTTTCTGTAGATGGCTTTTCTTATGTACTTCATACAGAGGTTTCCCTGATTCAAATAAGCAGTGGAAATGTGGCTATAGAATTGGCATTTAGAATCTGTTTTGTTTTTCATTTTTATATTAAAACTGGAATGTAATCATGATTTAAATGCAATCCATTTTAGCTAAACAAGTTTAAGATTCTAATTATGCCTGACATATCTGTGTGTATATCAATTAATATATTTAAAGTATGAGAGCAATGTGAGGAAAAAATGTGGAGTCTTCTCCTTACAGCTGAAGTTTTAACTTGAACAATTTGGGAAGGAAAATGCTCAGCAAGTGAAACAGATTTTGAGATGAGGGCTTCTTAACTAGGGAACTCTAAACTCTTGTTATAAACTGACTTTACTATGAAAGAGTTGGGACCTGCATTATGTGGAAGTAGCCTCTTGAAAAACGCCTAGTATATGTCCTGATTGATCTTGTTCGGGCATAGGGAGAGAGTTATGTTCATTGTATAATTTCTTATATTTTTTGCTCAGAGAAGATATTGGCAGCAGGTAATGCTCTTTAGGGCTATGCGAATTGGCCTGTATTCGATTTGGATTCAGCCTCAATCGGGAACAGTGATTCAGTTCATTGATTCAGATCACTGTCCCGATTTGATTTGGCTGAATCTGAAAATTCGATGCTGATTCAGATGATCAGAGATTCGGCCATAGACACAGCTTTAAATGTTTCTTCTACATGCCTCAAGCTACCAGATGCAGGTCGTGGATGACGCATCTCACGGGAGTGCGGGGGGGCCCCCCGGTGTGTTTGGTGGCGAACCCGGAAGTGGATTGGAAGTACTTCCAGTCCACTTCCGGATCTGCTGCTGAGCACGCTGGGGGCCCCTCGCCCCACCGGCTCAGCGGTCAGCCACGGGGGGGGACCCTGGGTGCCCCCCCAGACCAAGGAGACACCAGTTACCATGCTGAGGGGATGCGGAGGAGCCCCCCCGCATGCTACTCAGCGGACTCAGAAGTGGACTGGAAGTGCTTCTGGTCCACTTCTGGGTCTGCTGCTGAGCATGCTGGGGAGCCTCCCGTGCATCTGTGGGACACTTTATCTGCCCCACCATCGCAGCATTCACAAGCTGCCTGGTACCTTGAGGTATGTAGAAAAAACATTTAAAGCTGTGTCTATATCCAAATCGCTGAATCTTTCTGAATCTCTCCAAATTGATTCAGAGGGTTCTGATTTGATTCAGAGAGATTAAAGGGTCTCCTGATTTGATTCAGATTTGGAGATTTGGCTGCCAAATTGGGCCGAATCAAATCAGGGACTGAAGCTTTGTACAGCCCTAAAGCTCTTGATGGATTGTGTATTATAGTTAAAGTGTCCAGAGGTACTTGTTTCAACAGAAACATACATACATACTTTTTTGTTGTTGTTGTTGAAACTTTCTCTCTCCTTCTACAGTAGTTCCCTCCAGTCATTTAACAAACAGCCAAAAGTGTTCAAAATTCAAACTCTTGTCTGTAAATAGCATCTTGGGATTGAACAAGAGACACCCAGGAAGAGCCAAATTCCCCTCCCCTCCCCTCCCTCCCACCTTTTTGCAAAAAATCCTTGGACAGATAAGGGGATAAACATAAATGGAAATGGCTGCTTTGGGAGTAGTCCTGTTGGAGGGCTTAATTCTCTTGTGGGGTACTGCTCCTAACCTTCAAACATTCACTGATTCAAGTGGGAGTTTACTCTACTCAGCAGTCCTCCCATTCAGGTTGCATTAAATAATTTACTGCTTACAGATCTGGCAGTGACACTGGAATTGTGCATGTGCTGTATTTAGCAAATTAGTATCTGATTTACCCAGGTTGTTTAAAAAAAAAACAACTGTATTTTTCAAAAGAACTGAACAACAGTAAAACTTTTGGAGAAATTTCCCATTCTTTTGGGCACATGTTATTCAGTGAAAGGAAAGAATTAAGTCTTGCAAGTGATTTAACTTTTAGTTTATGGCCCAGATTTAACTAGGTTTTAAACTAATACTCACTTGTTGTGTCAACCTTGAGAAAGCAGATCAGACAGTGATTTCCTGTAGGCTATCTACTAGACAGAGGTAACGTGGTGGTATGATCATGTGTTCATATACAGGAAGAGATAAGTCACAAAGTTAGTACTAAATGACTGCACAGTACCAAATGTGCACTCAGGGGCACATGTAGACATGCTCTCTGTGTATCAGGCTTGCCTGGGATATGTACAGTGCTGAACATGATGCTGACAGTTACTGATATCTAATCAGTGACAGCTACACTGAACTACTGCATTTTAAATATCTGCCAAACTTTTTGAAAAGTGTTTAACTTCTCAGGACCTCCAAAACCTGAGGGAAACGTTCCTACTATTTTATTTTGTTTGTTTGTTTGTTTGTTGAGAGCATGCACTGACTTAAACAGAGAGAGGAAGAAATGAATAAGTCTTTTTAAAAGTAAAAATGGAGCAAATTGTGTAGCGGAGATAGAATCATAGAAAGTTGGGGTTGGAAGGGATCTCAGGAGCTCATCTAGTCCAAGCTCCTGCTCAAAGCATGACCATCCCCAGATAGATCATCCCAGCCAAACCTTTGTCTAGCTGGGTTTTGAAAACCCCGAAGGATGGAGCTTCTACCACCTTTATGGATAATCTGTTCCAATGTTTTACTACCCTCCTAGTGAGAAGATTCTTTCTAATATCAATCCTGAACTTCTCTTCCTGCAACTTGCGACCATTGCTCCTTGTTCAGTCATCTGTCACTACTGAGAATAGCCTAGCTCCATCCTCTTTCAACCCCACCCCCTCTTTCAGGTAGTTGAAGACTGCTGTTAAGTCTCCTCTCAGTCTCCTCTTCTAAACAAGCCCAATTCCCCCAGCCCCATTACCATTTTTGTCACGCTCTGCTGGACTCTCTCCAATTTTTCCACATCTTTTTTGTAGTGAGGGGCCCAAAACTGAATACAGTACTCCAGATGCAGCCTCACCAGTGCTGAGCAGAGGGGAATAATCACTACAATTGACCTGCTGGCAACACTCCTACCAATGCAGCGTA